CTCGCCTCCCCCACCAGTGTTCTCGGGGACCCTGGTGAGATGTCCCTGAGACTCAGGCCCCAGGTGGGTGCAGAGGCATTGAGGCCTGCCCCCCACCCCTCCAACCCAGGGTGCTTATCTGGTCAAAGCCAGCAATTACCGGAGGGGCTGGACGAGGGGAGGGCCCTGTGTGTGCCTGTCCCCTCGCGCCTGTTCACCCCCATTACAGCGAGAGCCGCTGCCGGGCAGGGACCAGCGTGCAGGGACCCTCACAGCTTAGTCTCTGCAGCTCCGAGCGCGCAGTAGTCCACGTCCGGGGACCCGACTCTTTCTGAGCTGCGGGCCCAAAACCATTTTGCTCTGGGTTTTGACGCCTTCAACTGCAGATTCGAATCTCGGTGTCTTTCTTCTTCTTCTTCTCCTTCTTTTTTTTTTAATGTTTTATTTATTTCTGAGAGAGAAAGACAGCATGAGCAAGGGAGGGGCAGAGAGAGAGGGAGACACAGCAGCTCCAGGCTCTGAGCTGTCAGCATAGAGCCTGACGCAGGATTTGAACCCACAGACTGTGAGATCATGATCTGAGCCAAAGTCAGGCGCCCAACCGACAGCCCCCCAGGCACCCTGGTGCCTTTCTTTTTAAACATCTAAAGCCTTCAGAAATTAAAGGCCCACAAAGCACACGTCCGCTGTGGGTCTGCTGTTCTGAAGGCCCAGGTCAGCCCTGGGGTGATGGGGGTCCCCCAGGGAAGCCAGTCTCGCAACATGGGCCTCATCTGAGGTCTGTCCCTCAGCTGCGCACGCGGGACATTTCTGCTGTTAGGTGATTCAGGAGCAAAATCCGCCACCACAGACGGGAGGAGAAAGACACCCCCCACCCCCCCACCCCCGCTCTTTGCCTCTCGTTTTCTCCCGGTCAGGAGCTGATGTCCTTGCTAGGAGGGGACTCAGAGCCCCTGGACAGCACGGGGAGGGTCCATCAGGCCCCCAGACCCCAGTGTGGGTGAAATGCACCTCCCGGGCCCTGGCAGGTGTGTTTTCACGGTCATTGGCCAGTCCGGGCTGCACGTGTGGAAGGCAGGGGGCCCGGAGGCGACAGAGCCTGGGTGCTCTTGGCCGGATTCTGGGAGCGGGTGGTAGGCAGTGTGTGGCCCACTCTCCTCACTGTGAAAACCAGGACTGTAGGAAGCCTTCGCGGGGACATCTGTGTGGGTCACCTCAAGCTGTTGTAACACAACACCACAGACTCGGCAGGGGTGGCGGTCAGTTAACAATGGGGAACGTGTTCCCCACACTTGTGGAGACTGGATGCCTGGGCCCAGGGAGCCCGCAGGGCAGGGCTCCGGTGAGAGCCATGCGGCAGTCTGTTGACAGCTGCCTTCTGGTGGGGCCCTTGCATGGAGCAGGTGGGGAAGGGATGGGGCGGGGAGGAGGGGATTTCGTGTCACTGTAATTACCCACTCATGTCCCCACCTCCACATGCAGGCTTATTGGGGGTTAGAGCTTCACCACAGGAATTTGGGGTGGGAGACACAACTCTGTCCATAGCACTGTGCCCCATACGTCAAGGGACGGCAGACTTTGTGTAAAGGACCCGATCGTGAACTGCAGGCCACGCGGTCTCTGTGGGATGTTCCCACCCTGCTGTCGGAGCGCCCACGCGGCTGTGGCCCGAGCACTGTGCAGGCCGTCGGGCCCCTCTCCGTACGAGGCGTCATCAGGGAACCCCGTTCCCACCAGGTGTCCACCTGCCCCAGCCCACGCCATGCGTCTTCGTTGCCAGCAGGCCGATGGAGGGTGTGAGAGAGAGGGTGGAAGCCACAGGAGCCTGGGAAGGGGGCGAGGGCCACAGCCCGTGCTGAACAGGTCCCCATGCTGTGGACCAGAGGCCGACCCCAAGGCAGGCAGGCAGGCAGGCATGTCCGGGGTGGGGCCCGCAGGTGATGCAGCTGTCTGGGGACAGACCGTTGGGTCGAGGCTGGCAGAGGGGGGACCCCGCCCCGCAATGAGCCTCTCTCCCCAGTGCCCTGCCTCTTGCCTTTGCTTTCTCCTCGGTTCCCAGAAGGCCCCTCTTGGCATGAATGGAATCACCAGCCACCTGCCTTGGCCGATCTGGGCAGGACACGGGCCACTTAGCGCCGCAGTGACCCAGCCTCGCTCCGTGCAGAGCCCCTCCACACTTGGTGCTGGTGGCTGAGGGCTGTATGCCCTGACGGTGGTACCGGGGACCCTGGGGTGGGCTCGGGCCTCTAGGGGCCCCTCAAACCCCCCAATCCACGCCCCATTTCTCATCAGACGCTGATGACATGGCCAGCTCTCTTGAGAGCACACGCTCTGTCTCCGGCGCCGACGGGGGGCCTCTCACTTGGGGTGCTAATGTGAGAGCAGCAGGGACTGTCAGCTTGAGGGACTCCAGCAGATCCTTGACAGCGCGTGTCCCAGAAGGCTTGGGGGTGGGGTGGGGGCCAGAGGGGGAGGAGGAAGACAAACAGAGCCATTTGCTGCGGGCCGCCCTCCCCGGGCCCTGCTCGGAGGCCGTCCTGAAGCTCTTGCCCCGGGCCCTCTCCCACGTCACCCCTGCAGCACAGAGCCTCTGCACGTGCTCCCGGCCACAGACGAACAGCGCTGCCTGAAGGTCCCAGGAGGGCTGCTGGGGGGCTGGCGCCTTCACCCCGGGAAACTGCTTGTGAGGAAGAGCTGGGGTGTGTTTGCAGGCCTTAGCAGCCGCGTCTCCCCGTGTGGTGGGCTGATGGGAGCCGTGGGTTCATGGCTGCCCCATTGTGGGGTGACGTGGCCGTGTCCTAAATCCCCATGGCTGTCGCTCCCCCCTGTGTCCCGCTGCTTGTTCCCTGGATGCCCATGTGCCCTGGTCCCTGCCTCTGCCAGTGACATGCCCACGGCAGCTAGCACCTGCAGAGAATGAGTGCGGCTGCGTGGGCCGGGCTCCAGGCCACCGGGCAGTGCTCCGTGGAGCACATCTGTGTGTCCCCCTCCGTGGGGCACACAGGTGCTTTTTGTAATTACTTAAGGAAAAGCAATTGCAAAGCCACTCGATACAAATCCCTTAAGCCGCCGTCGATGGTGACTCTGGGGAGGCCGCTGGCGGGCCAGGAATCTGAAACGCGGGCACCATCTGTGCTCCCGCCACTCCGAAGCCAGATTACACCACCAGCCCTTCTCTCCTGCACAGTTTTTCATTAAATGAATTGCATTTGCTGGGAATCGCCTGTCCATAAATATTCCCTCCTGCGCAGCGTGGTGAGGTTATTGCTGTCCCCAAGTCAGTCCCGGATCCGGGAGGAGTCAGGGTGGGGGCTGGGGCAGCAGGAAATTCCTCTGGGCGCTTCCCGAAGTCCCTCCTGCAGCCGCAGGGCACCCACCTCGATCCTCAACCCTCACCGCTTCTGGAGCAGATCCAGGAAGCTTGCAAGGGAGGGTGCACAGTACCCGGATTCAGTTATATCTTCTTCTCGCTGTGAAAGTGGCAGTGATGGCAATACTGTTGTAAAGGGTGAGACGTGAGGTTAACATGGAAATAGTTTTAAGCTTCAGCTTTGGAAATGGGCTTCTCCTAAGCCTGTCTGCCTGGGAGGCAGAAAGAGGGGCCGCGGGAGTTCCGAGCAGAACTTCAGAGTCCGAGTGACAGGGGCTGTAGTGCAGGTGTCCCTGGGCACATATGTCCCCCAAGGGTGGCTGCCCTGCGGCCTCCCGTCAGGGCTTTCAGCACAGGCGTGTCCCAGGTGTGTGTCCCCATGAGGGGGCAAGACCATGTCCGCTTTAGACAGATGCAGGTGCAGCACCCTGGGGTCACGCCCGCCCCCTGGGGCCCCCTAGGCCGCCTGCTCCAGGGCCTAACTCTGTGATGCTTCTGAGCCCCAGCAGCAGAGCCGAGAGGCTGTGGCAGAGACTGTAGCCCGCAGAGCTGAAACTACTCCCTGCCGGGCCCTCGGTGGACAGTCTGCCGGGCCAGCCCTAGACCAGCGTCCCCTCCGTCTCCCTCCCTTTTTGCAGTAGGGTGATTTCCCAGCCCCGTCTTGGTCTTATCCCACAGGTAAGTAGGAGACCGGGGCTGCCTGCGCCCCTCCTGCTGACAGAGGAAGGTCATTGGCTCAACGGCCAGAGCTCGGCTTCCAGAACCCGTAGCTGGCTTTTCTGGTCAATGGCTCCCTGGGGTGTTATGTGTCCCGGGGACACCTGGCTGCCTGCTGTGCGGTGCCCAGCCCTGGGGGTTATGCTGTGACATGGAGGAGGAGGGCCCCCGGGAGCAGGTGGCACGTGGGAGTCGTTCAGGCGGGTCTAGACAGCACAGGAAAGGCAAGAGAGGCGCCGTTTCAGCCTCTGCCTTCGCCACACTCGTTTGCCCCGTGCCCGAAGCTCCCAGACACAAAGGACCCTCCGGTCCCCACAGCCCTCGTCCAGCCCTCCCGGCACACCGTGCCAACCCTGCTCCACCAGCCACTGTGTCTGAGTTCTCGCCACCCCGGGGCCAGCCGCTGAGCCTCCGGTCCTGGCTTCCTCTGCCCAGACCCCCGAGGCAGAGACTGGGCCAGGCCTGTGTGCATCCTTGGGCGCCGCTCTGGGTTTCCTTTTTCTCTCTGAGCCTTTTGGGACCTACGGCTCTCCCCTCTTCCCAACCTGTGGGGTCACTGGTGTTGGGAGGCACACTCCCCTTGCGTTCTTACCCACTTGGGGACACGTGTGTCCCACATGAGGGGGATTTGGGTTAGAGCCAACCCAGCCGCAGGAACGCGGACCCCTGTGGCCTCGGGCTCCTGAGCTGTGTCTCTACGCCCTGCTGATGTCCGGGGCCCCCACAGATGCTCTGCTCTCCTCTCCCCTCCCTGGGCCGTGTGTTGGGCAGTGGCCGTGACCCCACAGAGGCGGGCCTGGGCCTTACACCTGGGACAGAAAGGTCCCATTTCCTGTTTGGAGGTAGCAGTTCCACCTGGGCTAGGCTCACCCCGCCTTTGTTCAGCTTGCTGGCCAGGAGCTCAGCCGATCTCCCCTGCCCCCCTCCCCCACAGTGCACGTGCCGGAAGGACATGGTCAAGATCTCCATGGACGTCTTTGTGCGCATCCTGCAGCCCGAGCGGTACGAGCTGTGGAAGCAAGGCAAAGACCTCACCGTGCTCGACCACACTCGGCCCACGGCCCTGAGCAGCCCGGAGCTGAGCACCTGGAGCGCCTCTCGGGCCTCGCTCAAGGCCAAGCTCCTGCGCAGGTGAGTCACCAGTAGACGAGCCGCTGCGCCCTGCCCAGCCCTGGTGGCGACCGTAAGTGACTCTCGCTCTCACTCTGCACCCGGCTGGCAGCTGCAGGCTGTCCCTGACCACTCTCCTCCCTCCTTCTCATCTTCTTCTTCCTTCCCCTTCCTCCCTCTCTACCCCGTCCCCCCTCCTCCCCTCCCTCTGCTCTCCCCCCCATCCACCCCCTTCCCCCTCTTCCCTTCCTCTCTCCTCTCCCCTCCTCCCACTCCTCTCTCCTCTTTTCTTCTTCCCATCTCCCCCTCCCCTCCCCCTCCCCTCCCCCTCCTCTCCTTTCCCTTCCTCCTCCTGCTTCATCTTCAAGTGTGCTTCCCAGGCCTCCACTTCCCCGAACATGGACCATGGGCCTTGGGGCAGGTGGCGTGTGTGTCACAGGGATCCCGGTTCCCTCCCACCCCCGTTCACCAGCTCCTGCGAGGCCCGCCCTGGGGCCCTGGGGCTACACGCTTTCCTCTCTGGGAGGATGACCCTGGGCGCGAGAGCCCTGTGTCCGTGTGTCGGCGCCGCTCTGGCCCCTCCGTGGGGACCTGTGGTGGCCCGTGTCGTGCCAGGGCCCGCGTGACCTTCTCACCTCTGTGGACGTTCATTTGGCACAAACATGCTGCTTGGAGCCGCGGTCACAGTTCCCCCCGGGACGTCCTTTGCACCCCTCTTGGGCTCGGAGGCCTCTATCCACAGTGTGGACCCTTCCAGGACTGCGTAGGCGCCGCCTTACCGCATGCCCGGTGTCGGGTGGGAGAGGACAGGGCACAGCGCCAGCGCCCTACTGGTGTGTCACCAAGGCTGTAGGGACGTGGGTGGCAGGTCTGGGCTGAGGAGGGAGTCGGCGTGCCAGGAACGAGAGACAGCCGGCCGCGGTGCCCAGAACGTCAGTCTGTTTGCTTCTCGTGGGAGCGCCAGGCTTTCCGGGCCTGAGTGCTCACGGATGCTGTTCTGCTGATTACTTCTTGGTGCCCAGGGACCAGTCAGCAAGTGCTCACGGGGCCCTGGCCGTGAGCCGGGCCCTTGCAGTGACAGGCCCACGGTCTCTCAGAGCCACCTGACTCCTCGTAAGCCGCCGCACACGGTAGACACTCGATAAACAAGCGAGCATGGCCTGTCCCTGTGAAATGTCCGTGATGGATGCTGAAATTGGAATTTCGTGTCATTTTCACCTGCCACAAAGTATTGCTGTCCTCTTAGCTTCCTGAACCGTCCAGAACCACCCTCCCCACGCTCAGCTGCCCCAGACCAGGCGGCAGGTGGACCTGCGCCTCCAGTGAGGCCTTTCCGGTGCAGCACTTGGTCACTTTGGGCTTGAACTTGGCCCCGCTGGCAACTCCCTGGGGCCTGGCCACTGACGGCTTGGGAGTCTGGGCCACGCCCTTCCTTTGGGAGCCCCGTTGCTGGCACTCCCACACCCTGTGGGGACATCCTTGCAACTATTTCTGGGAACAGCCATCCTGGCCGAGTGGCCGGGCCGGTCCAGAACCTGCCCCCGACCTGCTGTCCTTATTTGTACGTGTCCCATCTGTGAATCCACAAACCTTGGGCAGCCTCAGCCGCCCTGCATGTTCTCCTACCCTGGGCCCCCTCTCTCTGAGAATGTTCCGGCAGCTCCAGATAGCCCTTGTGAAGGTGAGTCTCTTTTTTTCTGATTTCTTTTGTCATCTGTCCTTTTGATTTTCCGCTCTCCCGCACGTGCTCTCTCCCTCGCTCTCTGTCTCTTTCTCTGTCTCTCTGTCTCTCTGTCTCTGTCTCTCTCTCTGTCTCTCTCTCTCTCTCTCTCTCTCTCTCTCTCTCTCTCTCTCTCTCTCGTGTGTTCTTTGCCGAGTGCACCTTCTTGCTGAGGCCAGTCTGCAGCTGATCCAAAGGCTTGTCCCCCAGGCCAGACGTGCGTTTGCATAATGGCTGATTGATTGTGGCTCAGGCTAATTGGTCAACAGAGTGGATTGCCAATAAACAGACACCACCGCCAGAAACAGAGTGGCATTGGAGGCTATTGGAAGAGCCTGCCTGGGACAAGGGGCCACAGCCTGCCAGCCCAGAACCTTCTGTGCCAGGCTGGCCCCCATGTCAGCCCCCGTGTCGTCCACACACTGTTCATTTCTGGAACGTTCCTGCCTCACGCCTCCCTCCCTTGCTGCCGACTAGGGGGGCTGTGTTCCTCCTGCAGGGAGACTGACTAACAAATTCGTCGTGATCCAAGGAATACAATTTCCTTCAAAGCCTTTAAATACGTAAAACACAGCTGATTCCCTTCTTTTTCTTCAAAGTCACGGGCTAGGGGGGCCGTTCTCCGAAAAGGCTGCCTGGGGGCCCGAGTTCAGTGCCACGCAGAGTCCCGCATGACTCTCTCCTGGCCACGTGGTGCCCTGCCCCGACCGCTGTCCCTCCCCTGAGCCTCGGGTGGGGCGGCGCCCCCAGAGCGCCCTTGGCTTGGGCAGAGGGTCAGGAGGGATGCCAGCTCTGTCCCCTTAGCACTGGGGACCCTGGGGCTGGGTCACTCTGGGCAGGCACAGGCTCAGGTTAAGGAGTAGCCCCGACCCCCACTTCAAGTGCCAGTAGCACCCCCAGTTGTGATGACCATAGATGCCCCCAGACACTGGCGCCCCCGCCCAGGGGAGAGGCACTAGGGGGCTCCTCACCTCCCCGCCTCTTCCTCCATGCGGTGGGTGCCCGCGCGGCCTCTCCTCCTCCCCCGACCTGCAGCAGCAGCTCGTGGTCCTTGCTCCACCGAGCCCCCAACCCCCAGGGGTTTGGCCTTCCTTCAGTGCCAACACCGTACCCAGCTGTCACCTCCCAGCAGAAGGCGGGTGTCGGCCTCCCCCAGAGAGTGATGTGCGCCCTTCTCATTGCCTTCCTGTGGGGGATCTTCCACACCGAGATCTGCTCCGGCAAATTGACCCCCTGACAGACGTCACAAACATCACCTCCCTGCCCCCTGCTGGAGGGCCCCCACCCCCCCCAGTGTCTCCACTCTCCCTCCTCCTGTTCCAAACGAGTGGCCCCTCTGCGGGCGCACCTGTCCGTTCCTCCCGGCCCCTCGTTACGTCCGGCAAGCGTTTCAAGAGACGCTGTGCACCAGCCATGTGTCCCAGCGGGCGTGCAACCTGCCAGCCGCACGCGCGTCTTGCACACACGGACAGTGGCACGCCTCCTTGTGGGGACCCGGAGGTGTACAGTACAGCCTCTGCCTGCTCCTGCTGACCTTGACCCCCAGCCATCCACCCGGACCCCTCTCCACCCACACCCACCACCTTTGGGCACCATGGAGACCCGGAGCCAAGGTCCAGCTTCCCAGCTCTCTGATGCCTGTTGGCCTGTGGGCGGCCCATCTCCCCTCACCCCTGCGCCTGATGCCCCGACCAGGCTGGGCAGCACCATGTCTCTGACTTGCCCCCACCAGGCCCTGCCCTGCCGAGCCCTTCCCCACAGACACACCTGCTGGCTGCTCACGAACTGGCCCCGTGGCCCACTGCGTTCCCTGGATTGTTCTTCCCCAGAGTGCCGCTGCCTTCTCTTCAAGGTGAAGTCCTTTAAACGCCGTGGGCCTGCCTGCCTCTGGGGCTATGGAGTGCTGGAGGGGAAAGGGGGGAGCGCGTCTGGGGGCCAGGCGGCCGGGAGAAGGACCTGGGGCACAGGGCTCGGGGGACCTTGATGCAGCCCTGAGTGTCCCCTGTGGAAGCAGAGACCCTGGGCAGCGGCCGGTCCTGCGAGAGCTGGCGCCTTGAGTGCTCTGGGCCCCTCTGTCGACCAGACCACAGCCTGCTGCATGGGTGGGAGTCCCAGAGGAGTCCCCATGCTGCCTCCTGCCATCCGAGGTCCTGAGACGCCTGCTTCCGTGTTGAAAGTCTTAGTGTAGGTGTGTGGACTCGGTCCTGGTATTCGCTTCATAGGCACCCAAGGCAGGGACCACCCCCGTCAGGCCTGGGCGGTCAGTGCATGCTCTCCACCCGCTCCTGAAACTCCACGGATGAGCCCGGGGGGCGACAGAACAGTGCAGGGAGGGCGGCTGCTAAGACTTGGGCGTGCCGTGGTGGCACAGCCTGGAAAGGCCGCAGAGAGATGCAGGGCGCTTGAGGGGCAGGGGGCCGAGCATGAGGCGCCGCAGGGCTCAGGGTGAAATTCAGCAGAAGACGGGGAGTGAGGCAGCCTCTGCAGCGCGAGAGAGAAGAGCCGTGAGCCTCCAGCCGCCTGATCCCTCCAGGCTGGGGTCGCCTTGAGGTCCCAGAGCCGGGAGGTCGGAGAGCAGAGGCTCCTGGAGCAGCTCCGGCCTCTCCAGGATCTCTGGGAAGAGAGGAGGACGTTGTCTGGGGCCCAGGCACGGTGTCAGCGATTTAAACGTCTGGTGCAGAGGACGAGGGTGACCCACGCTCTGCACACATCACTGTGCGGCCTCGCAGCTCTGGGATTAAAGAGAAGATGCCAGAAGCTTCTGCACGGAACAGCTAGGTCGACATAAAGGATGAGAGAGCCAGGAGACATCGGGCTTCCCATCCATAATACTGTGGGCCAGCCCCGAAGGAACAAGGCCTTCAAAACTCAGACGGGAAATAAATTTCAACTGAAGCATGTACCTCCGCGGCGCCCAGGGGGCTCAGTCCGCTGAGTGACTGACTCTTGACGTTGGTTCAAGTCACAGTCTCACAGATCGTGGTGTCCAGCCCCCCCGTTGGGCTCTGCACCACTTGGGATTTTCTCTCTCCCTCCCCCCCTCTGCCCCTCTCCTACTCATGTGCTTTCTCAAAAAAAAAAAAAAAAAAAAAATAGTATGTATCTAGTGAAATTACCAACTAAACATGCAAGGGGATAAAGATCTTTCTGGACCTCCAAAGCCTCAGGCGTCGCTCCCATTCTGAGGGCGCTCCCAGAGGACGTTCTGCAACTAAACAAGGGCACCGACAAAGATAGAGCGGAGGGCCCTGGATCCCACCCAGGCAGGTCCAAGGGGGCTCAAGGGGACGGGCCGCCGGCCATCATCGAGTGTGGGGACAGCCCGCGTAGGAGGCCACACTGGGAGCCTGGAGATCACCTGGATGGCCAAGCGTCTGAGACGGGGGCCGATGCCCGGCACCGGGAGGGGCTCACGAGGAGGACGCAGGCGGCTCCGTCGCTCGTGGATGGACCAGATCTATAGTCAGGAAAACGGAAACGAGGCACTTCGCCATGTGGCACCTGGTGGCGGGATGGCCACACTCCGCGTGTCTGTCCCCACAGCCATAGGGGAGACGTGGAGAAGTCCACACGAGCAGGAACAAGTAGCAGCGGGGAAGGAGGCTCACCTGGAGGTCTGGCCCGGGGGACACCGGGGTGGCCAGACTGCATGACCAGGAGGTGGGTGGTGGCCGCCGCCTCCTGTGACCCCGACCAGCTGACCACCATTCTTCCAGCTTCCGTTTCACGAAACAGATCTTTCCTTGCGTGCTGACCTTCCGCTCGCTTTTCCTACTCTGCAGTAGGGGCCGCCTTCTGCCTCTGTCCGCCGGCCGATGCTGCCCATCCTGGGGTCTCCACAGGAGCAAAGGCCCAGTGGTGCTTGGGGGCTGGCGCTGGGGCTGGAGGCGCCCAGAGCCCTGAGCCCTGCTCCCAGGGGGCCCAGGAAGGTTTAGGCTCCTCGGAAGACAGGACCACACCCCCACCCCCACCCCTGTCAACCCTGGGGGCAGCGGCATCAGGAAGGGCCTCCATTTCTGAGGGCAGGGCGGGTAGGAGGGGGGCCAAGGAGCCGGGCAGCTGCAGGAAGCCAAGGCCAGGTGAGTTCAGCCAGGGGGTGCCCTCCTGCTGGTTGCTGCTGGGGCCAGCACGGGGCCCCCCTGGGGGCTCCCTGCCCTGCAGCCCCCGCTCCCCCCTGGTGGCAGCAGGTGACAGAGCCAGCTGGGCCACACATCTGTCCTGGGACTTGTTTGGGGGGGGAGCCCCTCCCAGAGTCCCCCACGTGTAGGCCCCAGGGGCTCTGTGGCGGTAGAGTGCGTTCTCCCCCTGGCCCCCGCGCCCCCTCCTGCCTGGTCCCTTGCCCACGTGTCCTCCTGCCCACCCCACCCTGCACCCCCGCAGCGACCCGTGCACGCCATGATGTGTGTGACACCATGCCTGCGCCCATGATGCTCCCTCCCCCGGAATGCTCCCCTGCTTCCTGCCCCCGGTCATCAGAAGGCTCCTGCGCCAGCATCACTGGGGCCTGTCAGCCCGGCGTGGCCTGGGACCCTGAGCGAGGCAGCCCCGCAGTGGGAAGGCCCAGGGCAGTCAGCGTCAGGGGTCAGTCAGGAGAGGGCCCGCCAGCCATCAGGCACCCGTGTCCGGGGACTGCAGGACTCTGGTGGTCACCCCCTGGGTGGGACGTGGGGTCCTGGCTCTTGGAGCCCTCAAGGCCTCCCCGGGTCCCCACCCAGCCCCAGTCAAGTAGCCCTGCTTTGCTCGGTGACTTCTTGATCCTTGGAGGTGTGACTGCTGCAGGGACCCCATAGGGCTCTGTGTCCAAACCGACCTCCTGGGGGCCGCGCCAAGAGCCCCTGGGGGGAGGGGAGCTGCAGCCAGCACCTCCCCTTGGCATCGCTGACACTGAGGGGGAAGAAAGGCTATGAAGAAAGGTTATGAGGCCTTGAGCCTGAGACCCCGTAGGGGCGTGCCCTCAACAGCTGCAGGATGCTTGTGACTGGCCCAAGGCGGCTTCTCCACACCCCAGCCTCCTCCTCAGCTCCTGGGTGCGGCACACACCCTGGTGTCAGCCCCAAAGCCACTTCTTCCCTCCTTGGAAAGTCCCCCCCTGAGCCGGACAGGGAGGCCCTGGGCACTGATCGGCAGGCCCACCCACCACGGTCTCGTTCTTTTTTGCCTTTATGACCGATTCTCTCTGGTTTGCACTGAGAAGCCGTAGCTAAGCCTCAGGTGACGGCTCATTTGGGGCCAAGCGCTGCCCCCAGACTGTGGTGGCCTTGAGGCTGGCTGCCGGCAGGCGAGCCGCGGCCTCTGCAGCTCCTTTGAGTGAGGGCCACAGAGCATGGGGACGGGACGCCCAGGTGCCCGAGGCCAGGCCCGCAGATGAGGCGTCTGGGGAGTCAGCGCAGGCGCTGGAGAAAAACTCCCTGACGTTTACATTCTAGACAAATTAGTCTGAAAGAAAACAGACACTGGAGAAAGACCGAGGAGGACAGGAAGGCCAGTCTAGACAGGAAGAAAGAGCAGACCAGGAGGCCGGGGCCGCCGTAAGTGCACCTTGTCCCTGTGTGCAGGCATCTCCACCGTCACCCTGCCTCCCCCCACCTCCCAGCGGCTCTGCCCAGCCCCACCATCCCACCTCCCGGTCATCACCCGCTCTGCCCCATGTGGTCCCCAGGCCTCTCCCTTCCCCCTCCCCAGCCCCCCCATCCCACCTCCCGGTCATCAGCACCCGCTCTGCCCCACACGGCCCCCGGGCCTGTCCCCCTCCCCTGTCCCCACGCCAGCCCTGCTGGCCCTGTGACTGTGGGATGCTGTCCAGGGCTCCGTTCTGCCGGCTGGGTGGTGGGGCGCACAGATAGGGCTTCTCCCTGTCATTTGGCCTCCTGCCTGATGACTGTCCCTCTCCAGGTCCCACCGGAAACGGAGCCAGCCCAAGAAGCCCAAGCCGGAAGACCCCAAGTCCCCCGGGGAGGGGGCTGCCGGGGCCGCCCTCCTGGAGGAGGCTGGTGGCTTGAAGGAGGAGACCTCACAGGAGGCTGACCCCGAGGAGGAGGAGGAGGAGGAGACCCAGCCAATGCCACCCCAGGGCCGGGAGGCTGAGGCCACAGAAGGTCAGTCGTGGCTGGGGGTCTCCTTGCTGAGCCTCAGCTGGTGGAAAAGCTAGTGTTCACTGTGCCCGCGGAGTCCCTGCTCTTTAAGGGTCCAGTTCAGCTGCTCCCTTGTGGCGGGTGGGGGGAGGGAATCTCCAGCCTCCGTTAGATTCATGAAGGCCCCGCCTCTCACCCCTGCACCGCCCGATACTGTCTCCACGGGCATCAGCTTTCAGCGTACACGGGCAGGGAGACATAGGCGCTCAGCCCATAATGGGTATTCCCTGTCCCTTATGTGGGAGAGAGGGTAGCTTGCGGTTTGCGGCCACGCACACGTGGGTGTGCGCAGCGGGGACAGACCCTCTTCTGTCTGGTGGGCTTCAGACGTCAGGGTGAACTGCGGACTGGGGGCCCCCCCGGAAACATGCCCCACATACCATCCAAAGCCCTTGCAGTGTGGGATAGTGATCTGTGAGCGCTCCAAAGATCCCCCGCTCGGTGGCATGTCCCACTCAAATGTCACGGGGCACATACGCTACGTCCCGTTAAATTCAAGTTCAGAGAACATGCCAAGCCAGATGGTGCATCATTCACAGAGAGCGTGAGCCTCGCCCACTGCAGCTGCTGTAACCAAGCACTCCGGAGGCCAAGTTCAAGGTGTGGGCAGAGCTGGCTCCTTCTGAGGCTGAGGGAGAGTCTGTCCCGGGCCCCTCCCCTTGGCTTGTGGCCGCTGCCTTCTTGTCCTCCTGGCCACTCCAAGGGGCTCCCTGCCGGCGGGCGATGGGCCCTCTAGGCCCTGCACCCCCATCACGCAGCCTCAGGGACCTAACAAACGCTCACGAGTGAATACAAGTCCCCTGCGATGTAGGAGGGTGGGGGGGACCTGGGCTGTGGTGGGTAAATAAAGACCTCTCTGACAGGGCCCTGGGGTTTGCATTTGACCCTGGAGGGCCGGGATCTGTAGGGAAAGTGAGAAGGGAGCAAGACATGCAGCCATTTTGGGGTTCTGGCCCGAAGAGTGGGGAGCCTGGGGGGTGTCCCTGGTGGTGCTGGAGCAGCGAGTGATCTGCCCCCGGGCTGTGGTCGCGCTCTGCAAGGGCTGTTGGTGGAGCTGGATGGGGGCGGGCGCAGGGACAGAAGTACTCAGGCACCTGTAACTTGAGATGGTTTACCCCGCTGCTTAGCTGGGGGGGGGAGGGGCGGGAAGAATGACTCTTTTTTGTTAATTTGATTAATTTTAGATGTGTTTTTCCCCAAACACAGTGACTATGTAAAAACCGCCTCCCACCCACTCCCACCCCCACCCCCAGGCCCTCACTGGCTCTCGGCCGCTCCTGCTGGGTCCCATCCTGGTGACACCGGGGGCCTGGCCTCCCTGAGTCTCAAGATTCCAAGAGCTGGCGCATCAAGACCCCTTTCCCAGGGAGCCTCCGGCTCTTCTCTGGCCTCCTGCGGGGAGACGGCTGCTGTCTAGAGCAGCCCCCCCCCATCCTGTCCCCAGGAGGAGCTGGCCTTCCAGCATCTGCTGCCCCTCCCTGTCCTCTTCCCCAGCCCCGATCTGGGACCCCACCAGCTTCCCAGGGCACGTGGACCCCAGGAAGAGCCAGGCGGGCGGTGTCTGTTCACCGTCCCCCGCCCCCTGATTCCAGACACCATCCGTGCCCCAGGCCAGGGACGGGAGGAAGGGGTGGGGGCAGCGGCCACCGCAGCCAAGAGCCCTGTGCTTCTGTCAGTGAAGTCCTGTGAGCGTCCCCCCCAGCCCTCGGGGTGGAAGAGAACTCTGAATGCGTTGAATAAACAAGTGCTCACAGTCGGGGGTGATGGCAAAGGCTTGTCAAACGAGTGGAAGATTTTAAAATGCTTTCCGGGCTTCCTTTAACATTAGCTTAATGTCCCTCAGAGCTGTAAGTGCCAACGACCACATTGTGGGCAAGCAGTGGGGCGTTCTGTTTGGGGGTTGCGGAGGGAGAGCACTGAACACCGTGGCTCTCCACAGCGTCCTGGGACCTGGGGGGCAGGGCGGAGGGCAGGAGAGGAGGCCCCCAGGCAGGAGGGAAGAAGCCTCCTTAGGGCCTGGGGCGGGGGGGGGGGGGGGGGGGGGGGGGAGGCCAGGACCCTGTGGTGCCTGGACACGGACACACACACACACACACCCCACCCCACCCCGACCTGGGGGTCTTGAGCAGGAGATAAGGAGGCAGTGGGTATCTCTGCCCTGGTTTGCCGGCCGTCAGGGGTTCCCGCCTCCTGGAGGGTCGTGACCATCTCAGGAGCTCGCCCCCTGTGCCTGTGCCTGTACCGCCCTGTCTTCTCACAGCGGGGGGACCTGACCATGTGCAACTGGAGTCAGGGCAGGCCTGTTTCAGAGGTGCTGAGTGTTACACTTGGACACATGTGTCCTCCACCCAGGACACCCGCCCCCAGCACGGTCCGGCCAGGCGTCGGTACCACCATATGGCCTGGGCTCTGGGGACCAGGACCAGCTCTCTCGGGCTGGGGGGGGGGGGCGGTCTCCCTAAAGCAGGCAGCAGCTTCGGAGCCCCGCCCTGGTGGTTCCTCACCCCCCCCTTCCATGGGCAGCGGCCCCGCAGACGCTGAGCACAAGGGCCCAGACCTGCCTGGCACACTGGCGGCTCCCGCTTGGTGAACATCGGTGCCACGGTGAGCTCCCCAGCCGGGTGGGCCTTCTGGGCCGTGACTTACCCTACCCTCCAAACGGTGCTGGAGCCTCCTCAGCTCGGGGACGGTCCCTGCCATTCTCAAGGGAGGGGCGAGGCTCACATGCCGAGGAGATAACCTGGTGGGGACCCTCGGCCCTGTCTGTGTGACTGTCCCCTGCTCATGCCAGCGCTCCCTCAGGCCCAGGCAGGTCAGGGGCTTGACAGGGTCCCAAGGGGGAGGCCTGTGGCCGTCCCCCAGGCGAAGACAGAGCCCTGAGTCCCCAGGTGTCCTTCCTGGCCACTGGCTTGTCCCCTACCAGTCCCCTGGGTGTGTCCCCCGTGGGTATCCTCCAGCCTGCAAGATGGGAGGAGGCCTGGCACCTTCTTTTCTGACAGCAGGGCCTCTTGCTTGACAGCAAGCAGGCAGTCAGTCGGTCCCAGTGTCCTCCGGCCAGAGAGGGCTCAGCAGGTCTCCACTCAACAGGTTCGCGCTGTCAGGGCAGGAGGATCGCGGAGGCCCCTTAGAGAACAAAGCCGTGTACTGGGAAGTGCCTTTTCCACAGATAGGGCAGCCTCGTTGTCCTTGAGACGGCAGGGCCGCGAGCAGCCGTGACGCACCTCGCCGCTCGCCCCTGGGGCCCTGGGTCATCCCCTGCCACGTCTCCCCCTCCAGGTGTGTCTCTGCCCACCACGTCTCCTCCACTGTCTTCCCACTGCCACCGTGTCCCTCCCTGCGCCCCCTCCACGGCTTCCCCACACCCCTCCCTGCGCCGTCATTCTGCAGCCACATCTCTCCCCCTACGCCCCTCCCCGCCGCATCTCTTGCCCACCTCCAGTCTCTTCCCTCCCATGCGGTCTCCCCACCACATCTCTCAGCACCCCCAGGCACATCTTTCCCATCTCACGGGCGACGTTTCGTTGCCACCCGACCCCGCATCTGTAGGGGAGAATGGGTCTTGTCTGTGGAGCGGAACATCTGTTATGTGCTTTCCTCAGCCAGATGGCCATTCCCGAGGCTCAGGCTGGAGGGGATCCTGGGGAGCAGTCAGGGCAACCACAGGTGGGGGGAGTTCCGTGGGTCCCTGGAGTGCTCAGGACCTCGGGTGTGGGCCATCCCAGCAGCCGGGGCTGAGCTGCAGCATGCAGATGGGGGGGGTGGGGGCAGGGCCGCCCCAGAGGCCACAGGGTCTGGGGGGCCGGTTGATAGTAGGGCTCCCTCCTGGCGCCTGGGACCGGCTGTCTGCTGGAACAGGGCACCCATGTTTGCCAGCTTCTTGGGTCCGCGCAGGTCAAGGGTGACGTGAAACACCCTCCCCTCGGGAGCCTTTCCTCTTTCAAGGTCAACTGCATTTGCTTGTCATCTCTGGCTGAGGGGAGGGGCTTTCACAGCACGAGGTGACACATGGCTGCCCCGTCGCACACCGGGACACTGCACTCTGTGCCTTGGCAGTGGCTTAGTTGGGGAGGGGGCCTGGCCCTCAGTTTCCCCCATTTTCCCTGGGGGCCGGTTCAGGGAGACGGGGACCGTAGGCACCTATGGCCTCATGAGTACCCTCAGCAGGACAACCGCTGCCTCCCGGGCTCCCCAGGCAGACCAGGCTGGCCCTCCTCATGTAACGTCTGACCAAGGGACCCAGGACATGCATTCTCCGGTGGGGCGGACAAGGCCCGAGGGTTCTGGGGCTCGCTGTGCTGTGGGCTCTGTCCCCGGGGGCCACTGGGCTGCTTGTCCTCGAGGGCAAGGGTCCCTGATGCCTCGCCCTGAGCACAGCAGTCCTCACGGAGGTCACCCCCCACTGAGTTCCCTGTGGCTGCTGCAACAGCAACCACAGACTCATGTGTATGTTCCAACACCAGGAGGGCAGCACCCCCCCTGGGCCGCACGGGGCTGAAACGGCGTGGGCAGGGCTGGCCTCTGCACGGGGCTCAGGGCAGAACTTGTCCCCTGCCTTTGCCTGTTTCTGGAGGCATTGCGTCGCTGGCCCGGGGCCCCTCCTCCATCGCCAAAGCCAGCAGGGCAGCGCCTCTTTGACCCTTCTTGTGCGGGTGCCCCTCCCTCCGGCCGCAGCTGGGAAAGACCCTGGGCTTCTAAGGGTCCGGTTGGAACCCTCCCCTGCCCTGTGTCCTTAGCCCCTGCAGGGCCTCTTAACCACGCAGGCAGGCTCCTCACGCAGCCTGGAGCTGGGACACGGGCATCTCTGGGGGCCGCGATTCCACCAGACCTATGTCATCCATTCAGTTTGACCTGATGTGCTGGCCTGGCCTGCGTCCCGCCTTGCCACCTGTGGGGACTTGAGGGCGTCCCTCCAGGCCCAGCGGGCTCTCCGGTTCTGCTCAAGCAACCACTTTTCTTGGTTTGCTGTTGGCGGTTTCGCAGATGCATGCGTTCTGTGTGGAAATTGACAAAACCCAGCACCGCCTTGCGTCCGCCCCACTCCTTAAGAAGGACGTTTGGAGCAGTTCTTCCCCACACCCTCCACCCCTGGCCCGAACCTCAATGCGCTCTTCCTTCTGCTTTCTCCCTGCCAATTCCAGGAGACACCTGGACACCTGCCAGCACAGGGAGGGCCGGGCCGTGGCCGCCCCAAGGCTCAGGCATGGTGACCGGGTGGCAATTTGAACTCGCTGGAAGCTGGTATTCTTTTGGGGAAACTCAGGGGCCCTCACCCACCCCCAGCCATGTCCCTCCTGGGCTGGGGGGCTCGCAGGATGGTGTGTGGCTGCCGGCCTCAGCACCAACCTGTCTTTCCCTTTCTCCCCACAGAAGACGGAAGGGGCAAGCTGCGGCCAGCCAAGGCCAGGAGCGACAGGAAGAAGAAGAGCTATGGCCCCCTGCACCCGCACCACACCCTCCTGCCCCAGCTGCCTCCCCCACCCACTCAGTTCCCCGCCGAGGAGGCACCCAGGCTGCCGCCCCTGGAGTCCCCGGTGCTTGCCCCAGGCCCCGCCCTGGCCGACGGGACGCCCCCACCGCCACCTCTCAACGTCGTGCCCCCCGAGGCGCCTGGCCAGGAGCCAGAGGTGAAGCCGCGCCCCATCATCCCCATGCTATATGTGGTGCCGCGGCCCAGCACGCTGTGTGACAAGGGCCGCGTGTCCTGCCAGCAGGCCTTTGAGCACTTTGCCCAGAGGGGCCCCACCTGGAAGGAACAGGCGGCCCCCATGGAGCTGACGGGTCCCGAGGAGGAAGGCGGAGCCAGAGAGGTGCAGGTAGGGGCGTGTCCGCCCAGGGCCCTGGGGCTCCCACCTCCCCAGCGCCCCCACCACAGCCCTGCTCTCCCGAACCAGTCCCCTCGGTCCAGCACAGAGATCACAGGAGCTCCCTGCCTGCGGCCTTGACCCCACATCTAGGGCCCGGGGCCTGCTGGGGGGCGGGTCTCCACTGGGGGCCTCAGAGCCACGCCCCCCCAGATGCTGCGTGCTCTGCCTTTCAGGCACCGTCCACGTTTTCCAAATTGAAGATGGAGATCAAGAAGAGCAGGCGGCACCCCCTGGGCAAGCCGCCCACCCGCTCCCCGCTGACCGTGGTCAAGCAGGAGGCCTCTAGTGACGAGGGTGAGCCAGGGCACCTGTTCCCCGGTGGCCATGCCCGGGCCTCCCTCTGCTGCCCATGCCACCACCACCAGCCAGGCCCTCAGAGCCCCGCCCCTGCACAGAACATCAGATGGAGGCTCTGTTCCTCCCGCAGTGCCCCCCACAGTCAGCCTAGGGCCGCCCCACTCCTTCATTTCCCACCTTGGGGAGCGCCGAGCTCGGAGCATGCTTTGCAGCTGCTACCAGGCTGAAAGGCACAACATGGTCCTTCGGAGCTCCAGACGCGGATGCCGCTTAATTTTTCTTTGACTGTTTCCCCGTCTGTAAAATGAGGCCTGCCAGCCCTGTGAGGTGCCCAGAGCCCATGCCTTTGAAGCGTGCTGCGTGGTGCTGAGCCCGCGGCGGGTGCTGGGACTGCCGAGGCTGGGTGCTTGCCGACGTGGCAGGTTTTACCTGTGGTTTTCCCCTCCGCACACCTGCTCTTGTGAGAGCCCAGCAGGTGCTGTTCCTGCCGGAAGCCCCTTCCCCCAGGCCGGGGCAGGCTGCCCGCAGCTCCCATGGCCCCCGGGTGGGCAAGGACCATGCCCTCTGCTCTCGCGGGCTCAGGGCCCGCTCAGATGCCTGGTACAGCCCAGGCTTCCGAACATTGACAGATCAGGCTGCAAGCGAGCCAGGGGGAGGTGCATACTTAGGCCCCGGTGTGCCGGCCGCACCCCCCTCGCCTCCCTGGCCCCAAGTTGGGGGTTGAGAAATGACTCCGTGTTAAGTGATCACGGGGCTGTGTGGGCCTGGCTCTGGGACGCCTGTCCCTGTGCGCTGCCCTGACATGCAGGGGGCGCTGTCCCCAGAGCCGCACCGAGACCTGACCTGTGGCTGGGCCGCCATAGGAAGGTTGGAGTAAACCTGGGGAGCTGAGAGCCTCAGGCAGAGATTCTGCTAAACCAGGTTTTCATCCTCGGCTTCAGCCTCTCGTGTAAGATGCACGTGGAGTTTGTAACACTCATCCGGATGGCTCCTTCCATTTCCCATCCGACCAGAGGGCCGGGGGAGAGGAAGCGCCCCGATCACAGGGCCAGAGCCCCCAAGAGCAAGAGGGGCTCAGAGGAGGGCCAGACGTGGCGTTGCAGGCGGAAAGACTGTAGTGTCACCTCTCCAGAAAGTGCCTGCAAGGCCTCCCCCACCCCTACTCTGCCGGGGCCCCAGAGCCCAGCGTTCATCTTTGGTGCCAGAAGGGAGGCCAGCAGCTCTCATCACCGCAGGGTGCCTGGGCCTGCCTGGGGTCTCCGTGTCCTTGGGCAGAGCAGCCTTGACCCTCCAGTCAGGCCCAGCCCCCCTCTCTAGGGCTGTAGATGATCCATCTCCAGGGGTCTGCGTTGACCTCCTCCTCACTCTCATGAGTCCCCTGGCCCGGGCCCCCAGGCTCCTGTCCGCGTTCTCTTCCCACCATGCCTTGCTGGCCCAGCTGTGGTGAAGGTTGGGGCCTCAGCAGTGAGCGCCTGCTCCACGGGGTGGGCCCCTGCACAGCTCCGAGGCTCAGCCCCGTGTCCTCAGGAACCACAGCAGTGGGATATCGGGGGATTGGGGCGCGGCTGGCTGCTGACCGAGGCCAGCAAAGAGCAGCCTCGACAGGTGACAGGCGAGGTGGGAGGGACGGCCGTCTGCGGCCTTCATCTCGGTCGTGACACGGAGTCAGCAGAGCGTGGGAGTGACACTGCCCCTGCTCGGTCACCCCCGTGCTCTCCGCAGTAAAGTGCCCGCTGGCTGGGGACGGGTTTCTCTGGGCCTCCAGCCATGCCCAGGTTTCTCTCCGTCCCCTCCCGCCCTCCTGTTTTCCTCTAGAAGCCTTCCCTTTCTCCGGGGAGGAGGACATGAGTGACCCCGAGGCCTTGAGGTCTTTGCTCTCCCTGCAGTGGAAGAACAAGGCTGCCAGCTTCCAGGCTGAGAGGAAGTTCAACGCAGCGGCCGCCCTGACCGAGCCCTACTGCGCCATCTGCACCCTCTTCTACCCTTACACCCAGGTGAGGGGGCTCCGGGGGCGGGGGGGGAGTGGAGACCAACGGGCTGTTTACTTCGGGATCAGTGCGGCTCCTGGCTGGCGGGCGGGTGGCCTGGGGGGCACCGGACAGCCGCAGAGTGGCCGGCAGAAGCCGTTGGCATTTGGGGCCGTGTGATGCCGAAGGCTCCCCCGGAAGGGCTGCAGGGGGAGGGGGGAGAACCTGGTCTCTGAGCTTTAGCAGGAAGTGACTTCCCTATGGGCATAGAAACGGCCAGCGGAGGGGGCGGGGGAGGGGCCGGCAGAGGGAGCGCGCAGGTGCTGTCTGCAGGTGGCCGTCTTCAGCTGATCCTCAGGGCCCGCACGGGTCTCTGAGCTGAGAGGCCAGAGCCCGGGCAGGAGCCGGGACAGCCACAGTGACGTGCCCCCCACCCCCGGTCTCCCCATGAGGCCCCCAAGGCTTTCCTCTGCTTTCATATCTGCCCCATGCCCTGCGAGCTGCTCTGCACTGACCCCCGGGGTCTTGCCCACTGCCCGCCCCCCTGCCTTGCCCGACAGATTTCTGTTCATCCCCAAGTCCGCTGAGCTGTCTCCTCTGTCCCAAGCCCTCCCACACCTGCTGTTCCTCCCCGGGCTCGCCCACCTCGCCTCTGCTCTTGCTCCCACTCTGTGTTCAGCAGCCCCTGGACTGTGAGTCCCGGCAGGACGGGACCTGGTCTGAGTTGACCTTGGGTCCCTGGCTCCCAGCCTAGCACCCAGTGCTTCTCTTGAGTCAGCCGGGCCACGCCGAGGTCCAGGCCCCGGGGCTCAAGGGCTCTGCGGGTCCGAGCTGCCTGGGGCACCGTCTCAACAAAGATTCAGTGTTTGCAGACAAACAGGGACACAACGCAGACGACCTCTCTGGCCCGTCCCTCTTAGTGCCGCAGGTTGTCAGGCTGCTGGGAACTCCTTCAGTCCAGTGGCTAATGTTCCCTGCACCCCCAGTTTCCGTCAGGGCCCTTGTAGACGGGGCCCAGGGCTAGCTTATCTCACAAGGTTGAGAAAAGCCTTTGCCAGGCAGGGTGCCTCCAGCGGGCCCTCCCCTCCTGGGTGTCGTCCTGCTGCTCCTGGGATGGGCCGGCATGCCACAGCCAGGACGTTTTCATCACAGTCCATTCACGGGCTAGCATCTGGGGTACTGCCTTTATGGGACATAGGTCAGAAGTGGGGAGAGTGCCCCATAGAGGTTCACAGTCACTGTCCTTGTGGGACAGACAGAGCAGGCATGAAGGGCCGGCGGCCGCTGGTCTTGCAGGCAGGCAGGGCTCCAGAGCATGTATGCACAGAAATCTGAATGTTCCTGGCAGCAGGAATGGCACATGCAAAGGCCCTGGGGCAGGATGTTGTTGGAGGCAGAGCCAGGAGGCTGATATGGTTGGAGTAGAGCAGTGGAGGGGCAGTTCCGGGGTGGAGGGAGACGAGGGGGGAGGGGCAGGTGGTGTCACGTGACCCTGAGTTGGGAGGTGGTTCAGTGGGGGCAGGACTGGGTCTAACTGAGGAGGATCTCTTGAGGCCTCTGGGATCAGTGATGAGGGCTGGGCGGCTGGGACAGGGCAGCTGCAGAGGGACAGTGAGAAGCAGCCCACGAGGTATTTGGAGGACGAGTCTGCGAGGCGCGGGGCGGGTGCGGGGCGGGGCCCCCACTGAAGGCAGCAGCCTCCTCTTACAGGCTCTACAGACCGAGAAGGAGGCTCCCCAGGCCTCCCTTGGGGAGGGTCCCTCGGTGGCCCCCCCATCCAAAAGTGGCCAGAAGACACGGCCACTGATCCCCGAGATGTGCTTCACGTCGGGCGGTGAGAACACAGAGCCCCTCCCGGCCAATTCCTACATCGGCGACGACGGGACCAGCCTGCTGATCGCCTGTGCCAAGTGCTGCCTGCAGGTCCATGCCAGTGAGTCCTGGGCCCGCCGGTGCCCGGTGGGGGGACAGCTGTGACATCTGTGGCTTTGCCCCGCCTTGGCTCTGCGGATTCAGCAGGCCCCTTCCCTCTGGGCTGCCGTCTTGGGGTTTTCACAGGACCTGGAGTCGTGGGGTGGCCTCCCCCCTGGCTAGCTCGGACCTTTCCACTGAGACCTGAGATCTAGAGATGGTCCAGGGATCAGATCTGTCCCTGCCATCGGTGACCCCCCCACCCACCTTTCTCCCACGTCAGGAGTAGAGCTCCCAGCAAGGGAAGGAAGCTTTCCTGAGCTGTTTCATTTCAGGGGCTGCCCTGCAGAGGAAGGCAGCCGCGATCTCTGTCCAGCTTCTGTCCCGGCAGAGTCCTGCCCAGAGCTCATTTTGTCACCTGGCCAGGAGCCTGTTTGCCCTGCCTTGCTGGGCCCAAGTGCGAGAGGTGCCCCGAGCAGGCAGGCTCCTGGGGGCTGGGAGTGCAGGTCCAGGCTGAGTCCACCCTCTGGAGGGGCCTGTGTCTCACTTCGAGAGACAAACCTGGGAGGCAGAAGGCCCAGCATAACCCCTTGAGCCCCCTCTCCCTCCAGGAGTCAGGACCTCCCCCAGGGCACAGAGCAGGGGATCTGGCTTCAGAGCCTCTGTGGGCACACAGGAGACCACAGTTCTGTGGCCCTGCTTTCTCCCAATGGCCTGTGAGCCCGATCCCAGCTGCCCGAGGGCCCCTGTAGTATTGCCTGAGGGTGACCCGGGGGTGGGACAGAGCCCTGGCTCTGGGGCGTGACCTCTTGACCCACCTCCACCCTCCTCCATGCCATCTGCCCATTTCTAAACCAGGGCTAAGGTCCCAAGAAAACCATCTGGAATAACCCAGAGCCTCCCAACTTCTGCTTTGCTAAGTAGCGATCAGGCCTGAACACAGGGCCCGGCGCTGCTGTCTGGACTCCAGTGTCCAGGAGGCCCACCTTGCATTGTACACGCCTGCCTGGTCACTTCCCCCGCTTCCCAGCCTCCCCTGGCCCGCAGAGCCTGGGCAGGGCCTTTTAGACAAGACTGGAGACAGCAAGGGACGCCCTTGGCTGAGCAGCCCCAGCAGGGGGGCCTCCCTCTCCTTCCCCCCACTCTACTCAAGCTCCAAACAAGCCATTTCCAGACCACCCCGCTGTGCGCAGTGGCCTGGATTCAGGGAAGCGGGCGGGGAGAGCAGTTGCCCTAAATGCTGCTGCCCAGTTCCAGAAGGCCCCATCACCTGCCACGTGCATCCTGGCGACAGATGCCGCCCCCCCTGTCTTGCAGGTTGCTACGGCATCCGCCCTGAGCTGGTCAATGAGGGCTGGACGTGTTCCCGCTGCACGGCCCACGCCTGGACCGCGGTAACTCGCCCCTGCAGTTGGGCGGTGCTCTGGAAGCCATCGAGGCCTGTGGGGTCCCCGGGGGTGGGACCCAGCCTCCCCCCCCACAGTCCCAGGTGACCTTGGGCCAGTGGCCTCCCCTGCCTGGGTGTCCTCACCTGGCTGTGAGGGGGTGGAGCCTGATGCGCTCCTGGAAATGTGGGGACTGAGGGCAGAGCTGGGGCCAGGCCCCAGGGTAGGGCGGTGGCAGCCCCACCTCCTCACCACTGCTGGTCTGGTTCCCGCAGGAGTGCTGTCTTTGTAACCTCCGGGGCGGAGCCCTGCAGATGACCACCGACCGCAGGTGGGTGGTAAGGGCTTCTCCTGCAGGGAGGGGGGCAGGGGGGCGGGGGGGGCGGGACCAGGAGGACCCAGCGCACCAGGCTGCCATGGCCACGCGGGGCGCAGGGGTGCATAGTGGTGATGCCAGCCGCTGTGAGGCAGCCCCAGGGGCGGGGCACCCTGAGCCCTGACCCCAGCCTCCCCGCGCAGGTGGATCCACGTGATCTGTGCCATCGCAGTCCCTGAAGTGCGTTTCCTGAACGTGATGGAGCGCCACCCCGTGGACATCAGCGGGATCCCCGAGCAGCGGTGGAAGCTGGTACGTCCAGCGGGGTCTGGGCCATGGGCGCAGTGTGGCCAGACTTGTTCCTTCTTTTTTTTCATTCTAATTTAACGTGTATTTATTTATTTTTAATGTTTATTTATTTTTGAGAAAGAGAGAGGGAGTCTGGGGGAGGGGCAGAGAGAGAGGAGGACAGAGGATCTGAAGCAGGCTCTGCGCTGACAGCACAGAGCCCCAGGCGGGGTTCGAACTCAGAAACCGCGAGATCATGGCGAGATCATGACCTGAGCTGAAGTTGGACGCTTAACCGACTGAGCCCCCCAGGCGCCCCATCAAACCTACTCCTTTTTTTTTTTTTTTTTTTTTAATATTTTTATTTATTTCTAGGAGAGAGAGAGAGACAGCGTGAGCAGGGGAGGGTCAGAAAGAGAGGGAGTCACAGACTCTGAAATAGGCCCCAGGCTCTGAGCTGACAGTCAGCACAGAGCCTGACGCGGGGCTCGAACCCACAAACTGCGAGATCATGACCTAAACGAAAGTCAAAGTCGGACGCTTAACCGACTAAGCCACCCAGGCGCCCCAAACCTACTCCTTCTTAAAGGCGCAGCCGGCTCCTGGCTTGCGCGTCTCTGTGCAGAGATGTCCTTTGCAGGATCCGGCAGCGCGTGCGCTTGCTGCCGTCCTGCGAAGGGGGCGCCGCACACCGCCCTGGTCTCCCGTGACCCCTTACTCGGGGTCTACACTCCTGACAGACCGCTCAGGGCTGACTGCGGCGCGCCTTGTGCGGTGGAGCGTCCGGCCCGCTTGTCCTGCGTGACCAGACTTCACACGCTGAGCGCCCACGCCCCTCCCCCAACCCTGCCCCGCCCCCACTGCCCTGCCTCCCAGAGTTGGCGAGTGGGGTCATGCTGCACGCGTCCTGGGTCTGGTGTCTGTCACTGAGCACAGTGTCCTCCAGGTCTGTGTGGCTGCAGATGGCAGGTTTTGCCTCTTTCCGTGACTGAGTGGCATCCAGTTGCACCACCACATCTGCCTCTGTCCTCTGTTGATGGGCACCTGGGCTGTTTCTGGGCCACGGCCACGGCCCTGAACACAGGGTTGCAGATACCTCTCTGAGATTGTTTTCATTGCCTTTGGGTACATACTCCTGTAGTGGAATTTACTGGATCGTAAGGTGACTTTTTTTTTTTTAAGGAAACTTGTGGTTTATTTTAATTTTTTTTTTATTGTTTTATTTGAGAGACAGAGACAACGTGAGCAGGGGTGGGTCAGAGAGAGAGGGAGACACAGAATCTGAAACAGGCTCCAGGCTCTGAGCTGTCAGCAGAGCCCAATGTGGAGCTCGAACCCACGAACCGTGAGATCATGACCTGAGCCGAAGTTGGACACTTAACCAACTGAGCCACCCAGGCACCCCCTTTTTTTTTTTTTAATATTTTAAGTAATGTCTACACCCAGCGTGGGGCTCAAACACAACCACGCGGCACCGTGAGTCGGATGCTCTACTGACTGAGGTGGCCGGCCGCCCTTGGCGGTTCTGTGTGTTTCTGTTTGGTTTTTTTTAGTTACATTTTTTTATGTTTTTTTTTTTTTTATGTTTTATTTATTTCTAGGAGAGAGAGAGAGAGAGCATGAGCAGGGGAGGGTCAGAGAGAGAGGGAGTCACAGACCGAAACAGGCTCCAGGCTCTGAGCTGGCAGTCAGCACAGAGCCCGACGCGGGGCTCGAACCCACGAACCACGAGATCATGACCTAAGCGAAAGTCGGACGCCCAACCGACTAGGCCACCCAGGCGCCCCAATTTTTATGTTTATTTTTGAGAGAAAGAGAGAGTGCGGGAGGGGCAGAGAGGGAGAGAGAAAGGGAGACACAGAATCCGAAGCAGCTCCAGGCTCCGAGCCATCAGCACAGAGCCCGACACGGGGCTCAAACCCACGAACTGTGAGACCATGACCTGAGCCAACGTCAGAGGCTTAACAGACTGAGCCGCCCAGGTGCCCCTATTTTTAATTTTTCGAGGAACCTCTGTACTGTTTCCCATAACAGCCGCATCAGTTTGCATTCCCACCAGCAGCACCCGAGGGCTCCCTTTCCCCTGATTGTAGGAGCCAGTATAGAGGGGGAGCCATTGTGAGCTGGTGGCTTGTGGTTTGGGTTTGCATTTCCCTGACGACAAGTGGGTGGAGCACCTCTTCGCCTCCCTGTTGGCCGTCGGGATGTCCGCTTTGGAAAGATACCTATTTGGGTCCTTCACTCATTTTTTTTTTTTTTTAATGTTTTATTTATTTCTAGGAGAGAGAGAGACAGCGTGAGCAGGGGAGGGTCAGAGAGAGAGGGAGTCACAGACTGAAACAGGCTCCAGGCTCCGAGCTGGCAGTCAGCACAGAGCCCGACGCGGGGCTCGAACCCACAAACCGCAAGATCATGACCTAAGCGAAAGTCGGACGCTTAACCGACTAAGCCACCCAGGCGCCCCTGTCCTTCACTCATTTTTAAATCACGTTGCTTTTTTGCTCCCAAGTTGTAAGCATCCCATAACTGGCCCCTCTTAATGCGCGCTGCGCTTTCCCAGCATGGAGCGCGCCGTCCTCAGGTGGACTGTGGCCTCCTCCGCGCACTGATGAGGACGGTCACCCCTGGGGGAGCCCGTGGGGCAGTGGGCAGACTGCAGGGAGCAGGATGAGGCGCTGGCCGGTGGCCTGCGCTGTGACTCTGGACGGATTGCCGACTTCCACCTGCCAGTGGGGCTGCCCGGGGCCTCCTGTGTGTGAGCAGCACCGGTCGGTGCCTGACCGTGTACACGCTCCGGCACTCGGCTTGTCGCAGGCGGGAGTTCCCGGGCAGCCTCGCAGGATCGCGCGCGTAGCCGCAAGCTGTTTGCTTCTCCAGGCGGGCAGGTGGGGCAGGAGGCAGGGAAATCGGGCTTCGGGCCGTGGTGCGCAGAGCCCACAGACGGGCCGCCGGCAGGGTTGAGGGGCCGCAGGAGGGAGCCCGTGGGGGCGACCTCGGTCACTAGCGGGGGGCGGTCGCGCCAGCACCCCTCCTCCAGGTCCGGACAGGTGGTTAGGAAAGGGCCGCGGCCGCACGTGACTCCTCCAGGAAGGCGCGCGTAAAAGGCTTCATTATTCAGGGCAAGTGATGGCGAGGTGCTCGCGGTGCTCGGCGCCCTGATAGCTCCTCCCCCCCAGACGCCTTCTGCATCATCTTGACATTTCCAGCTTGCAGCCTCTTCATTACCAGTGCTTGTAGCCATGAATTAAAAATCCTTCTACACGACGCTCACTTGTACTGCCTAATGGAGCTTCGCGAGGAAGCCGGCAGTTAACTCCTGCGTGTCCAGCCACACGCCCGCCTTCCAGGGCCAGGAGGCCCGCCTGTGCTGGCCACAGGCTCAGGGACGGTCGCTCCTGGTCATCGGCCCATCGGTCTGTCCCTGTGACTACCTGGCCTCTGGCCCTGGGTGCCGGGGTTGTCCTGGTAGTGGGGGCGGCCCCGTCCATACGGTGGCCTGAGCCCAGATTACCTCCCTAGCTGGGCCAGCCAGATTTGTGCCCATGCTCAGCCCCGTCACCAGGCTGGGATGGTCCCTGGAGGGGCTTCCAGGTCTGGTGAGGACTCCAGGCTTGTGATCAGGCTGGGGCCGGAGGGGGGGCGGTTGTGGCCGGGTCGTGGCCGGTGGGGGACAGGCGGTTTGAGGCAGCTCCGCCCTCTTGTTGCCCCCGGCTTGGGGGAAGGGACTGACGTCAGGTTGGCGCTGGAGGGAGGGTGGGCCTTTGCCAAAGCAGGTCCGTGGGTGGGGTGAGGGCCAGGCTGAGCACAGAGGACTTGGTTGGGACGGGGGAGTGGGGTGGGGGTTGTCTGCAGGTGGGAGCTGCCTCCTCGGCCAGCATCACACCCATCACACCTGTCGGCGACCCCCGCTGCCCCAGACCACAGCTCTGCAGGGGCGTCCTCTGCCCTCCCTGCACCCCTCCTTACAGCCGCCACCCAGGGAGACCCAGTTGCTGCAGGAGCTCAGAATAAGGGCCCGCCCCCCATGGGCTGAACCAGGTAGCGCTGTGCCTGCCCAGCTGCTGGGTCCTCCTGGGCCTCGACCGGGACCGGCTCTGCGGAGGAGGCCCAGCCCGCCTGTGGTTGTGCATCCAGCTCCGCAGGCTGGAGGGGATTAGGTATTGACAGTTTAATAATGAGATCTCATTGCCATCGATCGGCGCCCCTGCAGCGCCCTGTGCCGCGCTGCTTATCTGGCCTTTGAACACGGTTTACAGAGCGATAAAGGCTGCTTAGTAAATGCAGGAAGTGCTCAGTGACGGCTCTGCAGGCAGGGAGGGGGCAGCTCCACGTGCCTTATATTCAAAATTAAGATAAAATTCACATTTTAAAGTGTACATTAAAGTGTACAGTTGAGTGACTTTAAGTATATGCATGGATTGGGGCGGTCATCACCATGATCTAGTTCCAGAACATTCTACCTCCCCAAAAAGAAATCCAGCCCCCGTCAGCTGTCACCACCCCCACCCAGCCCCCGCCCCCATGAGCCCCTTCCCGGCCATGGAGAAGCCTGTTCTGGATGTTTCGCACACGTGCACTCACACCCCATGTGGCCCCTCGCATCTGGTTCCCTCCCCGAGCCTCCCATGTTCAGGGTAAGTCCACGGGGCGGCGGGTGTGTGGGCTCCTCGCTCCCGCTGGCGGCTGTGATATTTGGCTCTTCAGTGTCTGTACTAGGCAGCTATGTAGAGAGAGTCGGTGGAGAAAAATCCAGAAGTGCTTCTGGAGGCAGCCACTGGCTGGTTCTCTCCACCACGGTCAGCACCCCCGGCCGTGCGCAGCTCTGCGGGCTTTTCCCACAAAGCCTCCACCAACAGACGCCCACCCCTGTCGCTGCTGAGTTCCTGCCCCGGGTCTCACTCCCAGGAAGTAGTCTTGGGGGCCCCGGAAGGGACTCCTAGCCCTGTTTCCTCTGCCCGTGACCCCCCAGAAATGCGTGTACTGCCGGAAACGGATGAAGAAGGTGTCGGGAGCCTGCATCCAGTGCTCCTGCGAGCACTGCTCCACCTCCTTCCACGTGACCTGCGCCCACGCTGCCGGGGTCCTCATGGAGCCTGACGACTGGCCCTACGTTGTCTCCATTACCTGCTTCAAGCACAAGTCAGGGGGCCACACCGTGAGTGCCCTGCCCGCCCCCCGCCCGGCCCACCGCTGGCCACCTGCGCGCTGACGCGCCCCTGTCTCTGCTGCCCCCAGGTCCAGTTCCTGAGGGCCGTGTCCTTAGGCCAGATGGTCATCACCAAGAACCGCAACGGGCTCTACTACCGGTGCCGGGTCATCGGCACCAGCACGCAAACCTTCTACGAAGTGAACTTTGACGATGGGTCCTACAGTGACAACCTGTACCCGGAGAGCATCACTGTGCGTGGGGCGGGGCTGTCAGCATGAAAGGGTGGGCTGGGGTGGGGGTGGGGGGTTTGCCCCTGCGGTGCTGCCCCCTGGGGCCCCTGCAGGAAGGCGCCTCAGGTTGTGCAGAAGCAGACCAGGAAGCAGTCAGTTCTAGGTGAGCCAGCAGCAAGCCCTTGCCTGGACAGTTAAAGCCCAGAACGTCACTCCCCTCCTTTGCGCAAACACCTAGCACAGGGGCAGATGACAGTGTGTGAGGGGGGACATGGGGGGGTGCCCTGAAACCCAGCTGAGGCCAAGGGCACCAGTGGTCTCACTTCCTGCCACCTTCTTCCCCTGCAGAGTAGGGACTGTGTCCGGCTCGGACCCCCGCCTGAGGGGGAGTTTGTTGAGCTGCGGTGGGCGGATGGCAACATGTACAAGGCCAGGTTCATTTCCTCCGTGACGAGCCACGTCTATCAGGTGAGCCAGCACCTGCTCCAAGGGCGGAGGGACGGAGGCACCGTGGGCCATGGCCAGCTGCCCGCTGGGGACCTAAACCGTCAGGGCTTCTTAGATCTTTAACCCGGAGGGGTCACCAGTTGTCCCATACTTTCCCCACCGAGGTGCCTGATTCCGTGTGTGGTGCAAATACAGCAGGAAAATGTACTCTTTGAAGCATTTTCGGCGACCCGTTCTGTGCCCCGGCTTTTCTTTTAATCCCATTGGTTGTCCGTTTCTTCCCACGATTGTGGAAGGGAAACTACTTAGTAGCCTGAAATCTTAGAAGAAAATCGCCCACAGTCCAGCCACCAAAGTGGACGGCCGCTCGTCCTGGGCTGCTTTGCTTTCTCTCTTGTCTGCCAGCACCCAGATCTCTCTGTGGCCACCACACACCCCTCCTCTGGCTGCTCGCACTTGATCAGGGCGGGGGGGGGTGGGGAGCAGGGAGGCCACCAGGGCAGGGCTGGCCGGCGGTGCCACCCCTGAAAACCAGGCCCTTTGCAGGTGGAGTTTGAGGACGGGTCGCAGCTGACGGTGAAGCGTGGGGACATCTTCACCCTGGACGAGGCTCTCCCCAAGAGGGTCCGGTCGCGACTGGTAAGTGCCAGAGCAGGTGGGGGCACTGCCCCTGGCGGCCCTTAGTGGGCCTCGGGGAAGCAGCCTGTCTGAATGGCCTTGACCTCCCCCTCATCCTTGCTCCTGGGAGGGAGCCTGGGGAGCGACGGGAAGGGCGGTCACAGGGCTGAACAGCCCAGCCAGGAGGAAGCGAATCCGCAGGAGCAGGAGCCGGGCCCCCGGCCCTTGTGCTCCGCGTGGCCACCCGTACACAAAACGAGCCCCGACGCTTTTCCGAGGCTCGTCCCTTTTCAGAGGGAACAGTGAGTCCCAGAGGCGAGGAACGGTGACGCCCCTTCGCGCCTGGGACTTTTGCGGTTGCCGGTTCTCCCGGGTTTACCGTAAAGGCAGTTTTGAGGCACAGGCAGCTGTGGCGGCCAGTGAATGACCTCAGAGTAAGAGCCGGTGTGGGGCGCACGGCTGACCTGACCCCGGGCCCTCTCCGGGAAGCACAGGGGCCCTCGGCCGGGCTCTGGGTACCCACTCCCCCAACCATGACTGGGGGGCCTGGACGGCTCACACACAGGCTGGGGGGCTCCTGCAGAGGCCGCCCTTGGCGACTGGTGTCCCTCTTGGAAAGTCACTGGCTGAGGAACAGTAGCCGGGGGCCAAGGGCGCGTGGGCCACAGTGGGCATGTGCTCCAGCTGGGTGTCTGCGCAAGCCCCGGGGGCGGGGGGGCTGCTGTGACGAGGCATCTGGGGTGCTGAGGCTTAAGTGTGGGCTCCAATTTGGTGGCTGAGGACAGCAGCCTCCAGATCACAGACACCTCCCTTCTGGTGGCAGGGGACAGATGGGGAGCTCCGTGTGGGGCCTCTGTGCTCAAGGGCACCAATCCCATTTACAAGGGCCCCTCCTAATTCGGTCACGCTCCCCCCAGATGGACGGATTTGGGCCCCCCCCCACCGCCCCACTAACCCCTGCCCTCTCGTCTCCCGCAGTCGCTCAGCACGGGGGCACCTCAGGAGAACATCTTCTCTGGAGAGGAGGTGAAGGCCGCCAAGCGCCCGCGGGTGGGCACCCCGCGCGCCCCCGAGGACTCAGGGCGGAACCCGGACTACCTGGCGTTCATGGAGAGCCTCCTGCAGGCGCAGTGCGGGCCTGGGGCCTCCTTCTAGGACAGCCGCGCCGACGACCCCGCGGCCCAGCAAGGCAGGCGGCGGCCAGCCCTGGCGTTTGCTTGCTGTGAAGTCCTGTCTTCGCCGCCCCCCCCTCCCCCAGAGGCTACCTCTGCGAGGCCGCCCCGCTCTGCGGCGACAGGAGCCAGCAGGCCACCGGCGCGTGGCCCAGGACTCAGGGAGCAGGGTCACGCGGGCTCTGGGGCGCCGGCCGAGGACCCGCGCCACCCCCACTCCTCGGATTCGTAAACCACGTAAGCTCTTCTTCTCGAAAAGGTGCTACTGCTTTGCCCGCCTCCCCAGCAGCCTTGGAGATTGTGACTTGTGTACATACATCACCTTTGTGAGGCTCTTTCTAGAAATACCTATTGTTTAAAAAAAAAAATACGAGGAAAAAACGGAAAACAAAGAAAAGGAAAAAAAAATCCCTAAAGTTGTTTTCTAGATTTGTGGCTTTAAAAACAAAACAAAACACAAACGTTCTTTTTCTCAGAACCAAGATCCGCTGAGGGAGATAAAAGCATCTCGGTTTTTTGTTGGTTTGTTTGTCGTTGTTTTAAAACCTTGCTAGTGTACGCGAGCGGCCGGGCAGGGTGCTGGGGACAGCGCGACAGGCGTCCGCCGGCCCCTCCTCTCCCGGACTCAGCGGAGGTCTGGGCGGCTGGCCCCGCCTCCGAGCCGCTGGCCCCGCCTCCGGGCCGCTGGCCCCGCCCTCTGGGCGGCTGGCCCCGCCTCCTGGGCCGCGGACAGGAGGCGGCGGCAGCTCCCTTGGGGGGCGACCACCCGCTGCCGGGGTCCAGGAGCCCACTCGGGTCCGCGCACGCCTTCACGAAATAAACACTCTCCTGGTTTGCGCCATCTTCTGCTTCCTCCCCTCGTGACCGCACGGCCGTTGGGGCCTCCAGTGTTTGAAAAAGGCTCTGTGTCCCCAGAGTGTCCCCGGCGCCGGCCAGGCCTCCCGCGGCCCTCCCGGCGTGTGCGTGGCCGGGCGTCTGTTCTCTGGCAAGCGTGGGGGACATCCTTGGCTGTCTGGGGAGGGAGGACATGGAGCCGGCCACCCCCTCCCCCTCTCCCCCACCCCCACCCCCCCGTGGCTCAAGCCCGGCTGTGCCCCGTGTCCCCAAGCTCTGGCCGGCCACTGCCCCACCTGCGCGGGGGCGCCTGCCTTGGACCCCGAGGGGCCAGTGACATCCGTGTCCTGCTTAAGAAGCATGGATTTGTGTGTGGGGGACACTGCTGTCAGCACGGGGAACCCGGGATTTGCGAGGCGCTCTTGTGAGGGACTCCGGACCCTCACCCACCTGCCGCAGGGAGCCTTGCCCGCCGCGGCGGCCCCTGCCGTCCTGCCCGGAATCGCCCGTAGAATCTGCTCGTGTAAAAAGTTGAACAGTGTTCTGATTGCCAGGCCGGAGAGATCTCTATAAGGAGAACAGAAAGAATGTAAATGAGCCAGGAACCTTTCATTTCTTCGGTGGGGGCGGGGGGGGGGGCAGGTGCCCTGGAGCAGGGGCAGGGGCGGGAGGTGCGAGGGGAGTCAGCCGGGTTGTGGGGGTCCCCTCTGCATGCGGCAGCCCCGCCCGGGCGCGGGCACTGTGTTCATATGTAGTTTGCAAATGCTATTTATATTGTAAAGAGAGGAGAAGAAGCGGGCTGGCCCTCGGGGCGGGGCGAGGGGGGTGGGCCAGACCCAGGCAGGGTTGGCCTGGGCCTGGGCCTGGGGTGACGCGCAGATACGCCAAGGCTCCGCGTAGGGGAAACGCACACTTCCCCACAAAGGCATACCCGTGTCTCTGTACAAAAACGGAAAACAAAAAATCCCACCCACCCTGATTTTTCTCCCACCCAAGATTAAGGATGCGCTGTATTTTTGCCTAATCCCCCGCCTCTAGGTTCATAATGAATTAAAGGCTCGTGAGCACTGCGAAATACAGCTCCCCGGCGTGGCGGTGTCTTCATTTCGGGGTGGGGGCTGGGGCGGGCCCCCAGGAGGGCGGGGTGCGGCCTGGCCCCTCCCTCCTGCTCCCGGCTCTGGCTCCGGGTGGAGGGCGGCCTTCCCAGTCCACGACCGTCCATCCCTTCCTTGAAGCCACCGGGCTCCGCTCACAGGCAGGCTGGTGGTGCCCCCGAAAGACAACTCTCGGGTCGCCGGGGAGGCTCAGTCAGTTAAGCGTCGGACTTTTGATCTCCACTCAGGTCACAGTCTCACAGTTCATGAGACCGAGTCCCACATCGGGCTCTGTGCTGACAGCGCGGAGCCTGCTTGGGATTCTCTCTCCCCCTCTCTCTGCTCCTGACCCACTCACCCCTCTTTCTCTCTCATAAACAAATAAGTTTAAAGAAAGGTTAAAAAACATTCTGTCTTTGACCCCCTGTTTGCCTGGGGCCAACAGCCACCTTCTGGCGCTGCCCTCGTCAGCACCACCCAGTTCCAGTGACGTCAGAGCCAAGGAGCTGCCAGACTGTGGGGTCGCCCAGGCCCGGCATGAGGCTGGGCCCCCAGGCTTTGCGAATGTGCCACGAATCCAGCAAGCCCTGGGGGTGTGGCACCAATGCAGCAGGTCTGATCCCACCCTCGCAGACCTAAGAAGACTGGGCGTGGCAGCTGGTAAGTGGTTCATGTGGCTCGTGGGGGGCGGGGTAGAAAGAGCAGGATGGGGAAAGAGGGTCCTGTTCCCTCGGGGACTCTTGAAGGAGATGCTGCAGTGCCAGCGGGCACGGTCTGTGCAAAGGCCCTGGGGCACGAGCAGGCCTGGTACATTGGAGGATCAGTGAGGGGGGGCCGTGTGGCAGAGTGAGGTGTGGGGGGTCTGGGACATGAGGACAGGGAGGGGACGGGTCAGGTGGTGCATGGCCTTGTGGGCAGTGGGGCCTTGGGGCTTTTACCCCAGGGAGGTGGGAGCCCGGGAGGGCTATGGGCAGAGGAGGCGTGACCTGACTCTGGTGCTCACGAGCACCCTCTGGTGACCGCTGCGGGGAGGACGGACTGGGGCAGGAGCTTGGGACCTGGGTGGAGGGGACTCCCTGAGCACCCAGAGAGGTGGTTTGGCCACAGACGAGGATGAGGCAGGCCGGGGCTGGGGGGGGGGGGGGGCGGAGGGGGGAGGCCAGCTTAGACTTGCAGGGAGCCCCACGGCTGGGTACATGGACCTGGAGGCTGGGGGGGGCCCGGCGGTGGGGCGGGGGCTTGGGAGAGACCGGCGTGCAGGTGACGTATTTACGGGACAGTTGAGACGGGACCTGGGACTGGACCCCGGGAGCCGGGGCCGGACTGGGGACGAGCAGCCAGGCGTGGGGGGATCCGGTTTGTCCTCCCCGCACAGGGCGCCCTCGCCAGGCGGTGGCACCTGCTGCGGCGATTTCCTTTGGCAAAGTCGTTGCCGCTGCAGCCTTCGCCCCACTCCTCAGGCCCTCCCTTTCGGGGAGCCCCTGCACCCCATGTCCTCTCAACAGCTCCAGGGCTCTGTTCCCCCGCCCGTTACAGGGGAGGAGGGGCCGCAGACCCAGGCTGTCTGGCTGCAGAGGGTCCACCGCTCGGGGGCGCGGCCATGGCCGTGGGCCGATGGGGGCGCCTGGTGCCCTGGGGGTGCTGGCCCTGGAGCGAAGCCGGAGGAGAAGGGAAAGCCAGCTGCTGGTTCTCTGGAGCTTAGGGCTCAGGAATGCGGGGCGGCGGGGGGCACAAACACAGCTTTGACTCACACTCTCAAGGACCAGAACAGGCAGGCAGAGGGTCAGCTGGTGGTCACAGAGATCTCTCAGAGCAGATGTGGGGAGGTGACTTTTCTAGCATCTGCGCCCTCAGGGGGCGCCTGGGGGGCTCAGTCGGTTGAGCGTCGGACTTTGGCTCAGGTCATGATCTTGTGGTTCGAGAGTTCGAGCCCTGGTTCGGGCTCTGTGCTGACAGCTCGGGGCCTGGAGCCTGCTGGGGATTCTACCTCTCCCTCTCCCGCCCTCTCTCTCTCTCTGTCTCTCCCCCACTTGTGCTCGCTCACTCTCTCTGTCTCCCTTAAAATAAAGTTTAAAAATAAAAAATAAGGGCGCCTGGGTGGCTCAGTCGGTTGTCTGACTTGGGCTCAGGTCATGATCTCACAGTTCGTAGGTTTGAGCCTTGCATCGGGCTCTGTGCTGACAGCTCAGAGCCTGGAGCCTGTTTCGGATTCTGTGTCTCCTTCTCTCTCTGCCTCTCCCCTGTTCACGCTGCCTTTCTCGCTCTCTCTCAGAAATAAATAAAACTTTAAAAAATAAAAATTTTAAAAATTAAAAAATTAAAAACATAAGAATTAGTACTTAAAAAAAGAAACACAAAACCCATGGTATGCATGGGAAATAGGGTATTTAGGAGTGATTTCTGTGGCACTGCCATCTCCGTGGCCCTGACTGGCCTCTGGACAGTGACTGCTCCGTTGTCCCCAAACAGCGTTGGCCGGTGGCCATCAGCCTGGCTTTAGGGCCCACCTGCAGACCCTTAACTACATCTGCAGGGACATTTTGTCCAAATAAGGTCAGAGGCACCGGAAGTCGGGCATGGGTGAATGTGCTGGGGGCCCAGTCAAGCCGCTCCAGCGCCACCCCCCCAACAGACCGAATGACCCCTGCCTGGTCCTGTGACTGTCCCCCTACCTGACTACGGGCCCCATGCATGTAAGGACGTGGTCTCGGTGCCCTCGCCAGCCGCCATGCTGGACCCAGGGCCTGACAGGTGGATCTTTGGGTCCCCGTGTTGGTGGACGGGCTCCAGGGAGCGTCGGAGGCGGGTTCCCTGCAGGGGCGGGGCGGAAAGGGTCTCAAGAAGTGGGGGATGGGAGCAAGTAACAGAGTGCGGGGCAGCCTCTCCGGGCACACCCTTCAGAAGAGCTGGGACCTTCCTGTCACCCCCGGTGTCACATGCTCCAAGTGGGGGCAGGACGGGGTGGGAATCCCAAAATGGAAAACCGCACGAAGCCACAGCCAGGCCGCGGATGGTGTTTTGTAACTAGTGCTTCGACGGGACACTGCGAGGCCCAAACCAAAATTACCTACATACCAACCCCTCACGCTAGTTAGAAAAAGCCGTGTCCCCACAGCCTAGCCGTCCTGGAGCTATTTTGTGTAAATACGGAGGGTTGAACAAATGGGCAAATTTTTAAAAAAAACTTTTTTTGAGAGAGAGAGAGACGGCGCACAGTGGGGGAGGGCTAGAGAGAAGGGGAGGGAGAATCCCAAGCAGGCTCCCCTCCATCGGCACAGAGCCCGACCCGGGGCTCGAACTCACAAACGGTGAGATCATGACCTGAGCCGAGATGAAGAGTCAGTCACTTCACGGATGGAGCCACCAGGTGCCCTGGCAGATGGGTGACAAGGGCCAGGTTTCTCTGTCAGAGGAAGAAATCACAAATGAGCAGGGCGGGGGGCTTCCAGAATGGACTTGTCCTCGGCTGGACCCAGCAGGGTCAGAACAAATTCCTGGTGTTAGTGCCTGCAGAGACTGCGGGTATGGACAGACGGACACAGACGTGACCGGAGGTGTGTACCCGCGTGGGTGCGGTGGCGCCCCTGGCCCTGAACACACCCGCTACCAGGACTCGGGCTTCTAAACACCGTCCCCTTGCTGAAATCATTAACTCCGTCCGGAGCGGGGAAAACACGACTGACGTGGGCGGAAAGCAAGGAGATCATCAGAAAAGGGTAGAGACGTGTGCAAAGGACGCGTTACCCAGACCGAAGCCGCTCCCAGTGGCCGAGGCCAGATCGGCGGACTCAGGGAGACGCTGGACTGTAACCACAGAATAAACGAAATCCACAAACTCCTATAAATAGTTGAATGAATGAATAAATGGGGGAGGGGAGAAGGGCGCACGCTCCCTACGGATGGAGTCGAGTTCCTGAGCGGAGGAGGGGAGAGAGGAAAGGCGTTTGCGCTCAGCTCTCGGTGCTTACACGCAGTCGGCAAACATTCTGGCTGCGTTCCAGCAGCTTTGGCCACGCTGGGAAAGAAGACGGGGGGTGGGGGGTGGAGGGGACCCACCTTCCTGCCCAGCCCCCCAGGAGCTCACAGCCTCTCAGGGGAGGCAGACGCGACATAGAACCAAATTATGCAGTAAGTTAAAAGACCGCAAATGCTCTATGAAGACAAGAATGAAAGAGGGACAGTGGTCGGGGCCTGGGGGGTGAGTTGATACAGGGTATTCGGGGTCTTGCTGACAATGTGACGTTTGAGCAAAGACCCAAAGGAAGTGAGAGGTTGAGTCGACGGTACACCTAGTGGATGTGAGCTCCACGTGGAGAGCGCTGCCAGTGCAAAGGCCCTGGGGCAGCACGAGGCCTGGCATGTTGGGCAGACATTGAGGAAGCCCGTGTAGCTGCAGCAGGGTGAACAAGAACGACAATAAGTGGATTAAATATTTATGAAACGCCTACTGGATACCATGACTTAAGAAAAATGAAGCCAGGGAAAGGGATAGGTGATGAGGAGGAGCTATTTTGGCTACAAAGTCAAGGTAGGCTTCCCTGAGGAGGTGACATTTCAGTAAAGAGCAGCAGGAGGTGAGAGAGTTGAACTAGGTGGAGACCCGAAGGAAAGGTGTTCCTGGCAAGATGAACAGCACATGCAAAAGTCCTGGGGCAGCATCGGATCTGGAGTGTTGGAAGAACACCAGGGAGGCCCATTGGGGCTGGAGCAGATTGGGCGAGGGGGGACGGGGGACGGGAGGGATGAGGACAGGGCGGGCGGAGCCTTGGAGGCCTCAGGGAGGACTTGGGCTTTGTTTTTCCCTCTAGGATATGTATATTTCAAAGTTTATTTTCTTATTTTGAGAGAGGGGCAGAGAGGAAGGGGGGGGGAGACAGAGAATCCCAAGGAGGCTCCAGCCATCAGCACAGAGCCCAACGCAAGCCTCGAACTCACGAACCGTGAGATCATGACCTGGGCCAAAGTCAAGAGTTGGATGCTTAACG